GAACAGGTTTGTTCGAACACATCCTGAGGTTGCTGGAAAGTTTATGAGTAAAAAACTTGAAGAGCTAGTTGTCACTATTCCATCGCATAGAGGTGCAGATGTTAGCCATAGAAAAGCGTTTTATGAACTCTTGTCTCATGTTTTGTCAATCCTAAGGACTACAGGTTCTGGTGTTATACCAAAGAAAATAATGGATCAAGTTATCAATTGTTTCTTAGAGGAAGATTCGGTTGCTTTATGTGCAGCTATTGCAGATGCTGCAATTCGCAATTGGAATGTTGACTCAATAAATACTGGTTACAACCAATTAATTTCAAAGACTGTTAGTCTATTAAGGTCATTTTCATTAATGAAGGACATAGGCTCAGTAAATTTACCAGTGGCAGAAGTGACCCAACAGGCTGTCAACAATGTCAACCTAATCAGCAACTTCTTTGCAAAAATCTTAGCAACAGATAAAACATTTGTTCAGCAAGCTCTTGGTGAAATTTTCAGTGTGTTGACACAGGAAGAGAAACCATCTAGTGTTACATTGACTCCACTCCTGACAGCTATACCAAAGGAATATGCGGAAGGCATTGCGGAAAAAATTTGCAGTAATCCAAGTGTTACAGATAAAAAACTTGATTTGGCACTTTGTAAGCTAATTGATTGGCTTGCATGGCCAAAAAGCCAAAACCTGGATGAGTGGATAATAACAGTGTGCCAAAAACTGCTTGATGATGGAAAGAGGTGTCAGGTTGTTGCACAAGTTGTTAAAAAGAAGGCAGTTGTGGTAAATAATTATTTCATATTACCTAGATAGAAACCTAGAGCTTTGCCCTTTCTTTACTTTGAAAATTAATCTGGCCTTGTCAATAATCCCAGTGTGGAATCCATGTAGCTTGCGCCGGAGATATCCAGCATAGACTAACAATTTCCCATTGTCTTTCTATTGTTTATTGGCATATGTCCGGGGTGAGCTTCATGTAGATTCCACCCTGTCAATAATCCTGGCCACTATTGGGTTTGATTAAAGAAAGAAACCAATGGAATGCAAATGCTTATAATTTTGATTGCATTAGAGACTTCTTTGAATGGAACTTATCAAAATGTCTTCTCAATGCTCAGATAAAGATTTTGATTGCAATTTTCATTTAGTACCATAAGTACACCCAAGAAAAAATTCCACATGTTAAGCCAATGCTATGTTGATTATAAGAGGAAAAGAAATTCTCAATTCCTTAAGGGATTTGACTATGAAAGTGATTTGCAGTGTGAAATAATGCCCCAAATGATTTTTCTTGTTAATCCCTTGTAAGTTTTCAAACTTATCATCATGAAGTACTTCACTTCAAAAGTGCTGGAGTTTAAAGAAAAATCGCTGATCTCAAAAAAGACTCACGGGATTTAGCTTCTCCAGCCCAGTGTTGATTCCACATTGCAGCCTCCATCTTGAGACCTTGCCGGGTTGTAAGAGACTAGAGAACAATCGTGTTGTTTCCAGTTCAACTTGCTTTTTCATAGCAGCCCTAAGCTTTAAGCACGAGAGGTCTCAAGATGATGAGACTCAATCATCTTCATGGTGCTGATGTAGGATAACAATAGGTTATTCGATCAAGTATTTTTTTCAGATCAGTGAGAAAAACAGCCATATAAATTTAAGCACAGATAATGTGCTCAATCCAATTTATGAAAGTTTAAAGTTTTATATGAAGAAATTTTATGAAATTTTCTACGGGTGTGTTTTTAATTTATGCGTAATAATTCTTCCAGCTATTCTGTTATTATTACTCAAACAGCCAGGCAGAAACTGAACTTCGTATCATAACATCTCCCCTTGTAATGGAAGAATAAATTGTCAAACATTCTTCATCGTGTCCTAAATTATACCTAATGATTTGATAGTTCTAACAATTAATTGATATTAGGTACATGTGTTCTGTTTTTCAATTTATTCTTGGCATGGCAAACAAAGGCCATACAAATTTTCAATAGCTTTACTCTTGAAAGATAAATTGTTGTCAGCGCAGTTATGCTAAATTGATGCATCTCTGCAATCTGCTTTTATTTGGCGTCACTTCAATTATTTAGAGAAAATTGATTAATAGAGATATAGTTCCTCCCAGAGTGTTGTTATAATGCAGTCTGTTTTTTTGTCTCGATTGCATTTATTTTTTATATTGTAGGTATTCAATCACATGTTTCCAAAAGAATCCAGAGAAGCTGCCACTGCAGTCTTTTCATTCATGATGTTGATCTATCAGCACAGTCCTGAGATTTTTCATAAGGTATTTTGCACATGCAATTTGTATAAAATTTTCTTATCTTTTGACTGCCATATGTGAATGTAATACTTTGAGTTGTTTTAACCATTAGAAAATATTTGGGAAGCCAGTGTAAGTTGCTCTTTATTATGGCTATATAGCACGTCAAGGTTAACTATAATGTCAAGTATCACCTGTGTAACCACCTCAATGATATTATTATTGTATTATTGGCTCATAAAAATTATGAGAAATTTATTAATGGTATCAATTCAAAGGTGTATATTTCTAATGTATAACATGATTGTTGTTGAATAAGAAATATTTATATTTTTAATCAAAACTGAAAACAATTGTACACATTTGTACATTACTTTTTAAGGTAAGTATAAACTTTGAAATAACAGTTTGATACACGCATTTATGTTCCTGGTTTTTTTAGTTGATTCTATTTGATTTTTTTTATAAAGGTTCAATATAAAAGAAGATTCTTAGCTGAAAAGAGAGCAAATTTGAAAAAGATTTGTTTTTAGTTTGGAGCTTCCAGTTAATAAAAAAGGATATATCATTTTTTTTAGTTTGGAGCTTCCAGTTAATAAAAAAGGATATATCATTTTCATTAATATGTAGCCTAGTTTGAATTCCTCTATTTGGGCTCAAGGTAGTAAATTCTTAATTAATGGGACTTAGAAAAATCTGATTAGAGCTGAGATAAAAGGGGATCTGATGCTTTGCTAAGAGGTAGCTTGAATATTCTCTGAATTTTCTGGCTGCCTCTTAGTGACAGCTTCACCATTTTACTTATGGCTCATTCATGCAATAAATTTGTACTACATGGAAATGAAGAGGCCATTTTGTAACTTTTTGATCTCCTGGTCTTAGGAATAATTTAAAATGAGTATTTGTTATATACAATTAATTAAAGACAATGATAAATATTTTGTACGATTGACTTGTCATAGATTTTAAATTAATTGAAAAACTTCTTTGAATTTTCTTTCTGTATTGTTTAGCTTTGTGGTTATATATCAAATGTTATTTGTGATGTTATTAACTCAATATTGTTTTTCCTAGGTTGCGCCAAGAATACCATCATTGTTTAACCTAATTGAAAAAGACAATGAAGATCCCAAAAATCAGACATGCATAAGAACATTAGCAGAGCTAGTTTACACATTGATGTACATGTTTCCAGGATATTCAAATATTTACAACAGTGTTCGCCCTATTTTAAAGGTATTTTTTTCGATTTTGCTTTCTTTTTGTCTTTGCTATTAATGTTTTATTAAACTGATGAACCCATCCAAACACGAGAACAGTTCAGGATTGGCATAATTGCAGACCCATTGATAACAATCTAAGATGCAGCTATCTATCCAACTCACTATCATCCAATTTATAGCTTCCAGTTTATAGCTAGGCTGAGGTTACACATGAAATTAGGTGTGGGGCTACTCACTGGTTGCCCTATGAAATAAAAAGGCTTTTGGAAGTGAGAAATGAGTCTGAAATGCAAAACAGTATTTGATTAATGCTTTCCTGATCTGATTCTCAATTCATTTTTTCAAAAGCTATCAATATATTAGTTTTTCCATTAACCTGATAAGATTGCACTGATACTCAAGTGATGTGTTTCTATAGATTGATCATATATAGGTTGCCTTCATATAAAGTCATATAATGATCAAATAAAGTCAAATGCTTGTCTTTTTTACGTTTATTTTAAAAATCTTGTGACATTCCCTTCAAAATACCAAAATATTATGAGTTGAATGTTGACCTAATGTTTTTCAAACACATCAAGTGAACCATCTGGCATTTATGAAAATCTTATATTGAGTTTTCTTAAGAGTCCACAAACATGCAGTTGAATGCAATACTTTTGCAGCAATGTTGAGTTATGAGCTGCTACTGTACAGTTTTAAAGCTAGTTGTGGTTGATTAACAAGTCCATATTTTGCCCAGTAATAGTTTATCTTCATACACAATCCATGAAATAACAGACATTGTTCACTGCAGAATTATTCCGAACCCAGCCAAGCTGATATGAAAAGATGGATTGCAAGAAGTTGTATTGTATTGCCTGGTGCTATTGCACCTCAAAGCAGTCCTGAAATATCTAGAAAGCAAGTAAGAGGCAAAACTGGTCTAACCAACCTTGGGAACACTTGTTACATGAATAGTGTCATTCAAGCTTTGTTCATGCTTAAGAGGTAATCATTGTCTGCAAATATCAACTTCTCTGTGCATTTATATCTAAAGGTAATCTGTTTTTCAGCTAGTTTTTCAGCAATTTATTTAGATGACTTGGAGAAACTAGTTATTCAATTAGAGCTCATTCCATCAAGAACATTGAAAAACATTATAACTTTAAGTTTAATTTTATTTTAGTTTGATTTAGCATGATTAACTGCAATGAAATCTATATTTATATTAGAAAATTTAATCTAAGATTTATGAAAACCTTTTATAACATTGCATTTGATAAGGAAAACAATTGATATGAAAATATTTGTTTGTAGTTTCCGCTCAAAGCTACTGTTGATGCCATTATCTGAAGGAAATGCTCCATTGATGTACAACTTGTCGAAGCTTTTCGCTTTTCTTCTGCTGTCAGAGGTAAATGGTTACTGTAATATTTACATGCAACAATGTTTATAGGCTTGTACAAACAAGGAATATGTTATTCAATATCCATTAAATATCATAGAAATGTCTGTTTGACTATACGTGATTCGTGCTGTTAAAGTTTGAAGTTTTTGGAATTTTTAGCAGAAGTCTTTCTTACCGTTTTTGCAACCAAATTCAAAAGATTGCGAATCCCAAACATAAAAGATTTTTGGGCCAACACCGTAGACGTTATATTTTCGAGGTTTTTGACTACGGAGTCCCTTCTGTGATGGGGCTGTAACTGATTCCGTCTTGAATTAATCCGAAGTTTTCGAAATAAGAATGAAGTTCTTTCATTTCTAAAGCAGAAATCTCATTCCTGATAAATCTCATTTCTGCACAGCGCTCAGCAATTAGTCCAAACGACTTCTACAAAATATCTAGGCCACCCTGGTTTCGAGTTGGCGCGCAACAAGATTGCTCAGAGTTCTTGAAATACCTTATTGAAAGGATAGAGCAGGAAGATAAATCGCAGGGCAGTGAGGTAGCAGACACGACTATCCACCGCATGTTCACAGGAGAATGCCGGGTGGACGTGAAATGCTTGAATTGTAATGCTGTGTCATCTCGGTTTGAGGCTTTCAATGATATTCCACTCGCATTCCATGATGACATTGAAGAGGGCAAGAGAACATTTTCGCTTAAAGGTAAGCCATTATACCTCAAGATATATTACCAGCCACTAACATAATCTGTGAATAAGTTTCTCAAGACTTTATAACACTGTGTTCACCGCTATTTATGAGTACTTTATTTGGAAAATAATGAGATCTTAGATCTGAAAAGCTCTGCGTTTCAGTTGCATCATATAAAAAGCATATGTGTATTAAATTATTTATCAAAGTTTCAAGCCATCTAATCATGTCCCAATGAACAATGATATTTAAAGTTATTCCTTATTATTATGAAACTGATACTGAAATAACGATCACTGTGTTCCCAACAACATTTTATGTATTCTTTCTCAAGGAAAGTCTTTGCAGTCCTTAAAACATCACACATTGCTACACATTTATCCATATTGACAAAGGCGTATTTTCAACTTGAAATTATCTTTAAATGTACGTTGTGTGTGGTATTTCATCCAAAATAACGATAACATAGTTAGCAAATAAAATGAGTTCTAAAATGAGAATGATACAGTTTCATTGTTAAAAACACGACGTTTTGAGCATGTACTCGTTATCATGACTTGATAGTACATGCTCGAAACATCATGTTTTTAGCAATCAAACCATATTATGTTCATTCTGGTACTCAATTTACTTGCCAACTCTGTTATCGTTATTTTTATATTATCTTTTTTTGCAAGCAATTTTGAGTAGCATGTCTGGTTTATTTCAGGGGGTGATATCTCTAGTGGGAGAATAAACAGTCGTGTAAAAGGCAGTGAAGGCCTAGCTACGGGCGATCCAAAGGAAGCCTTAGATTCGAACTCGATACATACGGTCGGTCAAGCTCAAGCTTCTGCAACAAGCTCACCTGTTATGACAAATAATGCAACTTTAACTGTTGAAAAGCGTAAGGACCGCTCTTATAGCTTGCAAGAGCTTCTCAACTCCTATCTTACCACAGAAAGCCTTCATGGTCAAAATCAATACAGATGTGATAATTGTTCTGCGCTGCAGGATGCGGAGCGACGACATCTTATCACTTCATGTCCGAAATTCCTTGTTCTTACCTTAAAACGCTTCACGTACGACATAAAAGCGCACAGACGTGGCAAAATAATGCAGAATGTGAAGTTTCCAAATGAAATCACTGTCCCAGTTCTTGTTGCCTCAACAGAGAATAGTACTAAAGAGACTACAGTCGAGCCAATGGATGTCGATGCAGACCATCCAAATGGTTTCGAACAGTCGACCAATAGCAGTGAATATTTCCCCGGTGAGTACCCTCGCGCATTGAATGCAGAGTATGCAGCGAAACCTGTTCTTAAGGTTGACAACGAAGAAAGCAAAATCTATTCTCTTGTCGCAGTCGTCGTTCACTCAGGAGTGTCTTCTGATAGCGGCCATTACTACTCCTATTGTAGAAGCAAATCCCCTAGTTTAGGAAATAGTGCAGAGAGTCAAGAAGCTTTTTCATCGCCCTCAGACAAAGGAGGATTTATAGATGACAAAATGCTAGGTGTGTCTAAAAACGTCAATGCAGTGTCGAGTAAAAATATAGCAGCCACAACGGCTAGCAACTATTACGATGTATCGACTAACATTGAGGTAAAAGAAAATATAATAAGCTCGAAAATGGAGACCACGAGCATGAATGCGAATACGAACTTGCACGAAAAAGGCAACACGAACAGGAACTTGCACGACAAGAACTACACGAACACGGAGGAACCTGAAAACGAATGGTACCTTTTTAACGACAGTTTAGTCTCTGCCGTCAAAGCATCAGAAGTGGAGAAGATACAAAATGACCATCCACGAGACACGCCATACGTTTTTATCTACGAAGAGGTCCCTGCTGATGATGATATCCAAACAAATGAACATTTGGTCAAACCAGAACTGCGTGTACATGTTGAAGCAGACAACAGAGAATATTTTAAGGTGCATTTTTTCTTCAGCTTTTTCTTTCATGCTTATATAAGGAACCACAGACATTGAGTCTTCTTCCTTCTAATTATCAAAATGTTCTCTTTTATAACGAAGTTTTAATAGGTTTTAAGCTGTTAGCAGAAATTCAGACTTGCATAAGGTAAATACTTCTTATCTCTGCGAAATTTATTTTGTAGTCTGAAAAGCTTTCTCCTCATTTTTGAATCTTCAAAATTTCTGTCTTTCTCTTATTGTTGATTTGGGCGTATGTTTTTTGGAGAATAACAGTTATAGAAAGCAACTTTTTGTCAATCAAAATAGCCACTGATCTTTTCAGTCGCGTAGCGTTACGTCTCACATTACAAGCATTAATGAAAACTCAACAGGTGACGTATTTGGTATTAATTCTTTCAACTAAAATGTATTTCAAATGATAGTGTAAGACTTCTTGCATTGTTTTGCTATCAAAGAAAAGTAAATTCAGTAGTCAACCCATATCATCCAATGAATCTCGGCGTTTAATTTTGCCCCCAAATTAAATTATCGCCTTTGTGTCATGTATTAATTTGTATCACATTTTCATCTGTATTACTACATCTTTAATCAATTCTCCCGGTATAAACTAGTAAATTTAACTATATTTTGCTTAACAGGGCCAAAGAAATGCAAAAAGACTTTTATACGACACAAACTGGCAACCAAAAACTCGAAAATGGAATGAAGATGATGACGATAAAAACAACGGAGGATCGTCAGGGAATTTCGGAGGAGGGTTTGGGGGACTTGATTTTGGTGCAAGTCGTTTCATATATTGATGCATGTCAACAATTAAATTTCGAATGCTGCCGTATGGGATTTTGTAGTAAATTTCCTACTTAATATGTAATTATTATTATTATTATTGTTAAGTTTATTATAGTTGTTCTGAATTGGATTGAAAAACATTGTCAGTTGAAACTTTGTGCTTGCCTCCTGCTGGGCTTTCCTACCAAAGATTGATGATCGCATTAATCGTGAAACTTTCAACCGTCCTGTTCTATACTCTGAAAGCGTTTACACGTTTATACCTATTACGCCGCATCGCGCACTTAATGAAAAACCAGTAAACAGTAATTTTGTTTTCATTAAGCTGATATGTATGTATGTGTGTATGTTTGTGTGTATGTATGTAATATGCATGTATGTATGTATTATTTGCCACAATATTTACAAATATTTACGATGTAATACAATGTTAACTGTTCAAAACGTAAAGATAAACACCCTAATTTAAAAGGAAGGGATAGCCTTTAAAGTTCAAGGTGACCGGACTTGATGGTTAAAACTAAATTTAAATTATTCTGAAATGTTTATGTATTTCAGGTTAAAACATTCTTCAACGGTCCTTAACTTTGTTGCTTTTCATTGGCTTGTAACATCTGAAATTTAAAATGTCATATAATAAGTGAGTGCAGTTATTATTGTTACAGGTATTATCAGTTTTTGCAAATGACACTACTTATTTCAGGAATCTAAAAAAAGGGTCAGGTTTGTCAAAGAAAAATTAGTTTAATGCTGACAAAAGCTAATCATTTTCTTTGCAGAGAAGAAATAGACAAGTCTATGAACCTGGTTCGGCGGAAGGTTGGGCAAAAATTAAGAAGGTTTTGTTGACAAACAAAATTTTGTGTTTTTTCTGTTTTTTCAATCGTTGACAAAATATCACGAATAATACTTAAAACCGTGAGGTTATACTACAGATTAAAGTAAAAAATTCAGGCCAGAAAGGTCGTGATAAAGGACGAATTATTGGTGCGACGTTTGCTTAATCGCACATGGAGGCTTGAAAATTTGCGTTCAATCTCTGCGCCTTTTCAAGAGAGGCGCCTCGAAAATACTGGGCTTTATGAAAACGAGGCTGAGCTTTAAATTTAGCATGAAAATTTAACAATTAAATTATAAACTTATCAAGTATGTTACGTTTTCTGAAGTGCATTAAAAATTTAACAAGTACACTGAAAGCTAATTCTTTCGAAAGAGAAATTCTAAGTCAAAATTTATGAATTTATATGGAAGAATTGATTTAACAGCAAATGTGACTATAAGAGACATAATTGAAGCCCTGTTATCAACGCTGACTGCTTCGTTAGTTCTTCAATGTAGCAAGTGCAGGGGACTAGAATTACGCTGAGAAACACGTGATATAGAGCCAAATCATATCTTGCCCCTAAGTTCTACTTTTAGACTGGGGTACTCCGGTCTAGACCCCTAATTGTACCGTTAGCTATAAACGTAGAATGTCAAATCTTGGAATGTTGAATCTTAGAATTACGCCAAAATTGTAAGATTTGACAGGTAGGTTTTTGATGATCTAATTAATGCTATAAGAACACTTTCCAAATGGATGTCATTGAAAAGGTACTCACTTGATGATAGAAATTTTAAGCATAAGAAAAGATATTCTCAGTCTATCTTTGTGTAGAAAAAGTCTTACTCAAAAACTTTAGCCTGACGTATTTGGTAGTGATTACTGTTCACACTGGAGACACATTCTCGCAAATACTTTGCAACTTGGATATTGATTTTCTAAGAGACAGAGTCTCCCCTCGAGAGGTCTTTCCATATTTGTGTCCTTCCCTCTTCCGCAAGCAGCCAAAGCTGCCTGATGTTAGCAAAATTCTAACTATCGAGAAAAAGGCATCTTGTGATTTTTAAAGCATTTATTTGGCTCGATCTTGTATTCTATTATGAAATCTACCAAGACGACATCGATTCGGGTCAGAATCGAACTAGAGGTATCATAAGTAACAAGTTCAGAATCTACTTGCAACATAAGAGGTATAATCAGCAAACATTTCTACTGTCCGGTCTCTTGTGCCCTTGTGCTTTTATTGTACCCTGGGTACCAGAGCCACATAGATTCAAGAGGGAGCAGAAGATAGGAGAGGAGAAGCGGAGGAGCGTTCTGTTTACGTGCTCGAAACTTTGGCTCTGGCACCCAGGGTATTATTATTGTTGCTCCCGCTCGATTTGCGTGCCAAAATTGATTTTGTTTGCGTTAGTGTGTTGGTGGCTCTGTTCATGCCGTTGGGGGTAAAGGGTGTTCGCCAGGCCAATGAGATATTGCTTCTTAGCTCGACGAACATTCTCGTTTGCAGAACATTCGAAGAAAAAGAAGACAAGTCTGGAGTTGTAGAACATTTCTGCAGCCCAGCACACACCATCAACGACTTTGCCATCACACCACTACTTAGACTGAAGTTTAAATAATTTTGCCCATATTCTTCGACCCATGAACCTTACGGTATCTGTACCATAGCATGTGGTTCTTACTTTTGGTAGGTTTAAATTGCTCAAGCTTCTTAGTTGATACGGCATTGCCTTTTCCTTAAAAATTTCCATCATAAACGAGGGATTCAAGTGATCCCTTGTTTTGTAAATTTCAACCATGAGCAACTGTAGGTTCTTCTGATGTATAGATACCAAAATATCATTTTCTAACAATTTCTCGTAAGGAGAGGTGTTGTCTTTGTAACTTTCCTGTATCCTGTTTATCTTGTTATTAATATTTTTGTCATGGAACATCCAGATTAATGTGCAGTAGCTGAATTGCGACATCATACCAGTGTTCATCATCAATTTTATTTTTTTGGATTCCATGAAAATCGAATTGCGAGATAAACCATTCAGTTTTTGGATGGCCTTTTTACAAAGAGTCTGCACATGAGTTTTGATGTTAAGTTTTGTAATCGTCTGCATAGTTGCATATTTCGGCTCGATTCATCAGAAGAAAAAGGTCATATACACGTTAAAAATGAGAGGCCCTAACACTGATCCTTGTGGGACTCCCTTTTGAACTACTTTCCAAGTGCTAAACGACCCATTAATTTCAAATCGTTGTCTCCTTTTTGACAAATAGCTGCGAATCATGAGTAGGGCAACTCTACCAAAACCATAGGCATGCAGAATATACTTGTTGAGGCACTTGATACTGTTATGTTGGGGTACTTGAAAATTTGATCACTGGCAATGAGCTTGATGCAAGGAGCCTCACCGATGCTGAAGATATCAAGAAAAGCATCATAAATTTTGAATTTCTGATATTGTTATACTTGTGGCTCGACATTCTCACCATAACAAAGGCAGCAATAGACAAGGTTCAAGGTCCAATGCTAAATGTTGGCGTTTCATGTCAGTTGATTAAGAGCTGTGTGCAGCAGTTTTCTTCTGTAAGACCTTGCGATAAGCATTTTGAAGAAATTATATAGAAGGCTGAAAACCGTAGCGCTTCGTGCACAGAATTAGAGCAGAATTTAAAGAGAAGAGAGATTCAAGACGCAAAAGATTTCATGAAGAATAAACAGTAGATGATCCTGTTGTAGACGATAAAAGAAGATTTAAGATTGAAGTTTACAGCAATATTCTTGACATAATGATTGAAGATTTAAAAGCATGGTTTAGCAACACAACCGTAAGAGTTCTGAAGGGCATGATGCGCATAATATCTGAGAAATTAGCGACCAAGTCACCTTCGAAATCTGACTTAGAGGATCTTTACACCCTAATGCAATTCTTTGAAGAAGATCTCTCCTCAAGGGCGCCGGAGCCACGGAGGCAGCATGGGGGCAGCAAAGTGCCCTTTTTATGAAATTGATTTCTAAGCAATATCAATTTTTATCAATATTTTGAATGCTAATGAAATTTAGGTTTCAAGTATCTCTCAACACCTACATGCAAGAGAAAAGTCAATATTTTCCATTTTGATACAGGGCCTCCGATGAAGGGAAGGGCCGGGGGGGCCTTGGCCCCTCCGCACTTTTTTGCAAAACAATATAGTTTTTTTCAAAATCGTTTGTTATGGGTGTTAAATTTTCCCTTGCCCCCCCCCCACTTTTCAACCTTTGTCGGAGCCCATGTGATAAGAAGTGAAAATTGATTTGCCAAGCAATTTGACCACAAATAACTTTTCGTTGATGAGTTCTCTTAAACTTTTATGATCATGCTAAAGATATTGCTACAAATATTGGTTCGGAAATGTTCGATATATCAGTCAAGGCATTAATGATATCTTAGATTCAAGCAAAGGCGTAGAGACCGGAAACACAGTGGACACGTGCCCATTTTTTCCTAAAATTCAGGTTACATCCCCCTTTGTAGCTCACCGAATTGCTGTTTTTGCCAACTGCATCATCAAAAAGCCCCCTTGAATTGCTTAGGCGCCATACGAAATGGGCAAAGGGGTGACCTTTTTTGGCCAATATATAAAATGTTTCTATTCGATCAGCTTTTAAGAATCCCAAGAAAAAAGATCAAAACCAGGATTACCGAAAGGTGGTGGCGATGTCAAATTGGCCTTGGGCATTAGGGGATTAATTTAGGGGGCCTTCGAGTTTTCCAGCTTGTGTAAGCAATTAGTACGACATAACAAAATTGTACAACTTTTCAAATGATTGCAAGAAAATGACTGCAAAAAATATTCTGAAATGGATTTTTAGCTGATCGAAAGGGCATGGTCGCCAAAATTGTTCGAATAGTACAGGGAACATTAAGTGGGCTATAATTCCTAGTTTGATTCTTAGTCTTGAATTTGAGTTTCATCATTTTTAAGGTGATTCGGGGTGAATCTTCAGCTATGTCATGATCATTACATAATCCATTAAACAGAAATTTTCCCAAGAAAATTCATACTGGAATTTGCCTCTCCTTTTTTATCTTCATTGTAACAATGGCTTCTTCTGGAGCAATATTTTTCTGACGGGTGCGCGGGGAAGGCTCCTACTTTGTTGTAATGAATTTTCATTTGCAAAATATCCCGAAATAATCAATGTGTTGATCATAAACGTCAATGTGTTTATCATAGATCGATGATAGTATCAAAAGTTCACTATTGGCCTTTATCAGCAGCCATATTCCCAAACTTTCATCAAAATTATAATTTGGCGTTTCAATATTGTTTATAGCATCGGGGATCTTCCCCGACCATCAGGAATGCTGTGCATCGGGGATGGAATTTTATCCCAGTGGGCCCATTTGCTTGTCCCAGTGAGCCCTTTTAAATCTCCATTAGTTGAAGTCATTTTGGCTTGAATTTGGTAAGCAAGAATGAACATGTATTTCATGAGCCAATACTAAAAGCTTCTTAAAGATTTTGAGCGATTTGAGTTTCTTATGAGATCCTTATGGGAACCCAGGTGCAATCTGAAATTTCAAAAACAAGTTTTTGAAGCCGAATTATCTCTCTTTAGAATTAACAATAATAGAATAATATGATTCATTTTAGATTTCAGATCCAAATGAAATAAGGCAGCCTTTCCACTAGCCTGGGTTAAAACATACCCGGGTTAAAAGTTATCCGTTTTTAAAGTGAGTCAATGGAAACGGCACTTTTCTTCGACCCGTTTTTAATCCGTTTTTGATCGTTCCCACTAAGCCGGGTTAAAATGTATCCAGGGTGAAAAGTTGTAAGAGAAATCAGTATTTGCATAAAAATCCTTCAATTTCTATCGTTGTAGGCCAATGGAAGCAACATCGACATCCATGATTTTGTTTTTTGATTTTTCGCGCCGTCTCAATTTTTAAACGTTGCTGTTGTTGGAAGTGGATCAAAAGTTATCCAGATTCGGCGTTTCCATTAACTCGCAGGTTGGTCAAAAGATACCCGGGTTAAAACCGACCCACTCTGAGACCCGTTTTCAAACTTATCCGTTTTTCAAGTGGGTTAGTGAGAACGCGACGCAGAAACGGATAACTTTTAACCCGGATATGTTTTAACCCAGGCTAGTGGAAAGGCTGCCTAAGTACTCCCCAACTTTTCCAATATTCAAGCAAAAATCTCTGAATTTTCATCGCTCAATTGTACTTGTGATTTTTGCAAGGAATATGCACGCTAACATGAGTTAGCGTTGGTAATCGAAATAAGTTGGCCTTATTTAGCTTCAATATAGCTACAGATTGTACCAACTTTGAATAAAGAAAGAAAAAAAAACGGTATGTCGGATGAGTTATAGCCAAAAGTTATATCAAGCCATGTAGATTGTCATCAGAATAATTTTTTTATGTTAGGAAGGATGGGATGCAGCCTCCCTTGATGGTTGAGGTTGGGGTGAACCAGGGCCTAAAAAAAGAAATTTTTACAGATCCACACTTTTTATAAAAAATTGGGCGTGTTACTTTGCTGGGATTGGCATCATGGGGGTGGCAAATATAGAAACTGCCATCATAGTGCAAATAGCATGTCCTTCTTTACAATGTATGGATTTAATATGAAAATTAGCTACATATAGCGATGTCTTAATATGTGAGCAAAAAGTTATAGAAAGAACACTCTTTGACATGGTTTGTTCGGATCTCTGTCAAAGTTATTTTATTTCCTTTCACGTTCGAAAACTCCCTTAAATCAGCATTTCTTCCCAGACTTTGGTGTTTTTTGGTTTTTGGGAGCCATATCTTTGCAGCTTTTCTCGGAACTCGAAACTTGCGAGATCAAACATATTCCTTGCAATATTTATCTGTTTGTTAAGTTTTTCTGGAGCTATGCTGCTTTCCCCACCTGCCTCTATCTTGTTGTAGGTGGGAATCAGCATCTCTACATCGATAGGATTAGGGTTTGCTGCGAGAATCCGAGCCATTGTCTCGTCTGGTAGGATTCTTCTGAGGACAAGTCTCAGATCTCTGCGATCTTAGTCGTTTATTTCTCAAAATTTAATGCATGATTGAATGAAATCTTTTGTCCGGGACGAAGCTTTCTGGGTGATGCTTTCTCAAGTCTGTTTTACTTATGGAAAGTTCTTAACTGCATTCAGCTCATCAAATAATTTTTGCCATCAAATTTGTTTGTTTCAGAAAGTTTTGATATTATAAACGAAAACCTCGTTACAGAAGGCAAATAAACTCTTTTCTCACTGATGTACAATTGTGCTTGTTTCTTCTTATTCTCTTTTCGCCCAGCTTGAAAGCATGACCTTTACTCTCTTGTTTGTAATGTTTGTTTGTAATGCAGAAACCACGCACCAGATCTAAATTTTGGAATTACGCCAAATTTGTCATAAGATTGTGCTGGATTTGCAAAAATTATGCTGGATTTCAAATCAAGGCAACCCTGCTCGAGAAGGAGGCCAATGCATGCTCAGAATATCAAGTGGCCAGAGTTGCAATTTGATCGTTTTGACAACCCAGTGTACTTATGCTTCATAAACAAAAAGGCAATTTAGATTCATGGTTTGATGGCCAAATTTCTCCATTTTGGCAGTTGCTCAAAACCCCTTGGCCGCCACAAATTGATTTGGCCGAAGAAATTTGGCTGAATTCTGGCCGCATGTTTAAAAAACAACGAAAATGCAAAGGAAACAAAAATTTTTGCACAGATAATATTCAAAATTTTTTAAAATAATTTCGAAATTGCAAATGATGAATGATGAAACAAATTAACAGATAACAAGATAACAGACAGTTTTGATAGAATCAAGTGAAAACTTCTGTAACCTACAAAGCAAATTTTGATTACGATATCACTCCCAATAATTAGCAAAAATTTAGCTTTTTTGCATACTGCGTTTAGCTGGCTGCATTTGGCTGCCAACCACAAAATATGTGGTTGGTAACTTTTTAAAACAACTGGCAAAATCTTGAAGGTTGAAAGTCACAATTTACTCCCAAAATGAAACCAAGCTGGTGAGAATTACGCCAGAGTTATGCTAGATTCCAAATTATGCTAGATTTTATGCTAAATGACGTTTTTTGGCCAATATTATGCAATATTACGCTAGATCAGGTCACACTGGCACCAGCCCACGAGGGAGTGGCTGGACAGGACTAGGAGGCTTGCCCCTAAACTTTTTACGGCAACGCCCTTTGGAACACCGGAAAACACTCCTTTCAGAAAATATTCGCTTCTATCTGTCCTTATTCATAAACTTAACGATTTAGAGAAGATTTCAATTAACATAAAATTACAAATTTATCTTTGACCACACAAGAAAAAGCACCATCAGAAAGAACAAAAACGTGTTCCCAGCAGAACTGCTTCTAATGCGTTCGTTAGCGTAAAATTTTCAAAACATTTTCTAACCCATTACTTTAAAAAGTTGGGGAGGACTATAGTCTCTGTCATGCAACATTCCCAATTGAATGTTCCTCCCAGCTACCACCGAGAGGCTTATCATCGTTCAGCTGCTATAGCCTTGAGAAGAATTTTTCCAATGCTTCTCCAATTTAAAACACCTTAGTTGATTTGCTTTATAGCTTTTTCTGAAATCTACTGAAAGATATCATATAAACCCCAAAATACATTACTCTTGGTCTTTAGGCTCAGTGTCTTTTTTGAAGCAAGTCATAAAAGCAAACTAAATTGAGATGATGTCTTGAAATCAAAGCTGTATACAGAGTCCATATTACTTCAAAATAGCACACAACATAATCATAAAGCGCAATCGATTTTTGTCCGCATGTACTGAAGCTTCGAGTTCTGAAGTTTCTTAATTCTTTTTTAATTGTCCATTGCTTGTTTCTTATCGCAATTTTCTTATAAAAATGAGTGCAATATATAAGGCTGAGATTGGGCATTCATTTCGAATTGAAAAAATGTTCCCATTTTTCTTAGTCATTTCGGTTGGTATTTTATGCTGCACTTTTAAGAACATGCATTATTTACATTTACAAATCCACACTTTCTCAATTACAGTTCCACAACTCCACAAAGTGTGTCAGATCCAGCCCCCCTGCTCCGCGTTGCCTGAGTATGATGAAAAGTATAGGTACAAAAATAATTATAAAATTCAGA